ATTGGAAGACTGATGGAGCATTCATCAACCCGTACGGCATGACGAGGTACTCATAGTGCCCAGATGTGGTACTAAATGCCATCTTCCACTCATCTCCCTCTCAGATACGCACCAGGTTGTACGCGCTCCTGAGATCCAATTTAGTGAAGAAGCGTGCCCCGTGCAATGACTCGGATAACTGTACTTAACAGTGATCTGTTTGAGACCACGATAGTCAATGCATGGGCGTAAACCTCTATCCTTCTTCTTCACAAAAAATAAACTTGAGGAGACAGGTGAAGTGGAAGGCCGAATGTATCCCTGTCCCAGAGATTCGGAGACATATGTTTCCATAGCAGCCGTCTCTTCCTGTGACAGAGGATACACGTGACTCCGGGGAAGTGCAGCGCCTACCTGGAGATTTATCGCACAATCCTCCTGTCGATGGGGTGGTAATTGAGTCGCCTTCTTTTTACATGGATAGTGGAGACCTGGTTTGGACTTTTCACCGTAGTTGCACCTATGGAAACACCTACACACCTCCCCGAGCACTGACGTGACCATCCCTTGAGAGCCCTCTGTTGCCATGAAATCGTGGGGTCATGAGAGGTTAACCAGGGAAGCCCCAACACCACTGGAAACGCAGGAGAATCAATCAGAAAGAGACTAATTCTCTCCTCATCTATCTAAGGCATGTACAGGGAAGGGCACATCAACAGGAAAAATAGGAATCCCTAAACTACGGGAAAACTTACGATCAATAAAGTTCCCAGTTGCGCCTGAATCTACGAGCGCCTTATGCTGGGAATGCGGGGAAAACTCCGGAAATTCGATGTCAATAGACATGTGCGCAACAGGGAGCTCTGGGTGAGTCGGGTGCCTACTCACCTGGGACGATCTACCAGTGCTCTGCCTGCTGCCTCAACTCCCTGAGGAACCTCCCCAGCACCGACCAGCAGTGTGTCCTCTGCGGCCACAGTTGGTGCAGGAGACGGCCCCCCTTCCGGTCTCCCTGAGAGCAGCACCTCCGAGCTCCATCGGTGTAGGGTCGGAGGTGCTGGGGGATGGAATGGACGGACCCTGATCCGGACGTCCACGGGTCGCCAACAGGTTATCCAGCCTGATCCACATATCCACCAGCTGGTCCAGGTTAAGGGTGGTGTCCCTGCAGGCCAGCTCCCAACGAACGTCCTCCCGTAGGCTGCATCGGTAGTGGTCAATCAGGGCCCTCTCATTCCATCCCGCGCTGGCAGCCAGGGTCCTGAAGTCCAGTGCGAAGTCCTGTGCGCTCCTCTTCCCCTGTCTGAGGTGGAAAAGACGTTCCCCCGCACCCGGCAGCTGTACCGTCATATGCCCTCGGGAGCGAGAGCCGAATCCCACTGGACCCAGGTGACGAAGGGGTGGACAGCGGTGTGGGCTGCTGTGTAGTTGGAGGAGGTGTAGGAAAACCCCCTCTCTCCCATTGCTCCATGGTGTTCAACACGCACTCCATGGCTGTGCCGAGAGTCTGTATCATGGTCGCCTGCTGTTGGACGCGTTCCTCCACTGATCCGGAAAGAATGAATGTACCTGCTGACTCCATTTGAGGTGCATGTTTCTGTCAGGCGTCAGTGTGTAGCGGTAGGACGGAGTCAGGCGCAGGACACAGAGCTAGTAGACAACGTACTTTACTCGTAAATAATAAATGAACATAACCTCCACGCAGGGAGGACAAACCCGCTCACCAGTCGATAACACCAAACATAGAACAAACAGTAACAGTGCTGTATATTTAATTTTAAGGCATTTCTTCACCGTGGTATCATTATGGTATTGAGTATCATTATACTGAGCTGGTATTGGTATCGAAGTAAAAATTCTGAACACTTGATATAGCTAATGATTAGCCCATTGGGGTAGCCTAAACAAATGCAGATGGGCAACCCCATCCTTCAGCCATCTATAGCCTAGCCACTATGCTACTATATCAGTTAGGCTACAGGAGAATGCTAATGGCTACAATAGCACACCTGCCTGATAATATGAGCCACGTAGGCTATAGCCATTGGTGAAAGAGCTAGCCCTAAAAATTCTACTTTTTGCCAACATGGGCTCATTCCTGGAGAGGAATATTAGCAGGTGTGTGGCGTGCGCAGATCTCAAAATTGGTATTAAATTGCATTCCAAGTGACATTAAAAAAGTCTTTAAAAGTCTTAAATTCAACTTCATGGAACCTGCAGATACCCTTGATTAAAGCACCGCACCAGAAAGTAGTGTCACCTTCTGAAGTCATCTTCTAAAATCTTACTAAAATCTACTAAATCTTTCCATGACTCCATGATTAGCAAATAAATATGCTGGAGCTAGGCATCAACAGGTCTTGTTGTCATAGTTGGTGTGTTTACAAGTAGACTACAACTTCTACTGTAGTTCTCTCTATTATGGCTGCAAGGCTTGAAGTCTAAATTGGAGAAAAGGAGATATTAGTAAGGAGGGGATGGTGTGGGTGACTGACTGGTGTCTGTTGGGAGTGGGTATTGTGCGTGAAGGTTAGTATGCATGATCTATTGACATGAAAAAAAAAATCCTCAAACTTTTAAAATATATTTCTGTTTTTAACTTCTTTTATTTTTTAAGGGGTTAATCAGCTTTAATATTGCAAATAAATTGTAATTTCTATCAATGTAATTGTCTGCATCACTTCCAATCCCCCATATTGTCACGCTCGTTGAGTACAGGATTGGACCAAGGTGCAGGGTGGTATGCGTACATGTTCGTTTATTGAATAAACACTGAACAAAACAACAAAAGTAACGTGAAGTTCTAAAGGCTAACATCAAACAAGCCAAACACACAGAAACAAGATCCCACAACACAGGTAGGCAACATGGCTGCCTAAGTATGATCCCCAATCAGAGACAACGATCGACAGCTGCCTCTGATTGGGAACCACACCCGGCCAACATAGAAATAGAACAACATAGAATGTACACCCTGACCAAACCAACAAGAAACAACAGGCATATATACACATACATATACAGTGCCTTGCAAAAGTATTCATCCCCCTTGGCGTTTTTCCTATTTTGTTTGCATTACAACCTGTAATTTAAATTAACTATGTATTTGTCCACCTGACTGTGGAGTGCAGAAAGGACCAAACGGTTGTCCACCTGGCTGTGGAGTACAGAAAGGACCAGACGGTTGTCCACCTGACTGTGGAGTGCAGAAAGGACCAGACGGTTGTCCACCTGGCTGTGGAGTGCAGAAAGGACCAGACGGTTGTCCACCTGGCTGTGAAGTGCAGAAAGGACCAGACGGTTGTCCACCTGACTGTGGAGTGCAGAAAGGACCAGACGGTTGTCCACCTGGCTGTGGAGTGCAGAAAGGACCAGACGGTTGTCCACCTGGCTGTGGAGTGCAGAAAGGACCAGACGGTTGTCCACCTGGCTGTGAAGTGCAGAAAGGACCAGACGGTTGTCCACCTGGCTGTGAAGTGCAGAAAGGACCAGACGGTTGTCCACCTGACTGTGGAGTGCAGAAAGGACCAGACGGTTGTCTACAAGGAGCCAGAGCCACAGCCCCCCAAACCCAACATCCCTGCCAACATCGCCACAGCGCCAAAGCCTGCTAAACCAGCTGCCATTACCCAACACAAGAAGAGGCTCACCAGCTGAAGAACATTCTGGAACCTGCCTGAAACATTCAACCAACACAACATCCATATTCAGTACTGATGTTGTAGTATAATATAGAATGCCTAGTATGCTCACAACTGCATTGTGGTATAAACATTGCTAGCTGTTGTAGATATGTATATAATGTTTTTTACAAAATGTGCTGACAAGTGACTAAATGATTCCAGCTGCATCAAAAACCAATAAAGTGTTGACTTCAACTTCTTGATCAATTGATTGTGATATTCAAGTCCAATTCACGGTAACATAGCTCCTGTGAACCTGTAAACTAGTACCGCCTACGTTTTGAAAAGCCTGCCTTCGAGGGTGGGAACAAGGAAGCAGTGGGTAAAGTACTTAAGTATAAATACTTTAAAGTACTAGTTACGTAGTTTTTTTGGGGTATCTGTACTTTACTTTATATATTTTTGAGAACTTTTACTTTACTACATTCCTAAAGAAAATAATGTACTTTTTACTCCATACATTATCCCTGACACCCAAAAGTACTCATTACATTTTGAATGCTTAGCAGGACAGGAACATGGTCCAATTCACACACTTATCAAGAGAACATCCCTGGTCATCCCTACTGCCTCACTAAACACAAATGCTTTGTTTGTAAATTATGTCTGCATGTTGTACTGTGCCCCTGGCTATCCGTAAATTGAAAAAACAAGAACATTGTGCCATCTGGTTTGCTTAATATAAGTAATTAGAAATTACTTATACTTTTATACTTTTGATACTTAAGTGTATTTAAAAACCAAATACTTTTAGACTTTTACTCAAGTAGTATTTTACTCTGTGACTTTTACTTGAGTCATTTTCTATTAAGGTATCTTTACTTTTACTAAAGTATGGAAAATGGGTACTTTTTCCACCACTGCAAGGAAGTATGGCTCCCGTCAGGCTGTAGTCTTTACAAAGCCAGGGAAAAACATTGTTGAGACAAGTCCAAAGACTCTATTGAACAAGGACGACCATATCTACACGCTGCTAGCGTGATCGTGCAAAAGGCAAAACACAAAGGACACAATAATTGCTACAAAACATGACTCCATAAATGTTTTGATCAGACAGCTGACTCAATCAACCAATGATTGAACTCTCCCGGCACATAAATTAAAAAATACAGCCATAGTGCATAATTATGTCTGAAACACCATCTCATCACTCATAATTATGTAGGTTTCCCTTTAAAGGACCTGCTGCACCACCTAGTGGAGCAATATAACACTACAACAATCAATATCAATACTGTAGTTCACCTTCTAGTCCTCCAATGATATAGGAGATAAAGTTATCACTTCCTCCTCTGTAGCAGCTGCTAAACCTATCTGCTGTGTGTCTCTTCCCTCAGGGTGCCTGGAGATATTGATGAGGTGAATGCACTGAAGCTGCAGGTGGATCAGTGGAATATTCCAGAAAACCTTGGTGACCCCAACGTCCCGGGTAAGAAAGAAATCTCTCGCATTCAACAACAATGCCTGTCTTGAATGGAGCAACTATGTATTGCCCTTTCTTTGAAAAGTGTTGTCGAGGCTGGAAACATTACTGTATATTGAACAGTCTGCACTCCATCGTGCCTGGGGGACAGCAGAGGTGTGGGCGTCAGACGGGTTCTGTGTACAGTGGAAGAAGAGGGGGGGCTTGGTTTTTATCTTTTTAGTTGTGGTAAATGAAGTAAAAGATTGTTCTCAAATGTAGGGAAAAATATATATATTAAAAAAAAAAAAAAACATCTCACTCCCCTAGCGTCTCTGCTGAAGCTGTGGTACAGGGAGCTGGAGGAGCCGGTCATCCCTCAGAGCTTCTACAAGCAGTGCATCAGTAACTATGAGGATCCCGAAGCAGCGATCAGAGTGGTGCAGTCTCTGCCTGAACTCAGCAGGACTGGTGCTCTGTTACTTTATACACTTCTTACAGGTAACACTCCTACATATACACAGGTTGGTTATTTAGCAACAAATCGATTATTGCGCAACCGTGGAGGAAAACAGGCGGGGGTTAGCTTAGAATCAAAGGATTGTTGACAACATATAAACTACACTGAGTGTACAAAACATTATGAACACCTTCCTAATATTGAGTTGCACCCCCTTTTGCCCTCAGAACAGCCTCAATTCGTCGGGGCATGGACTCTACAAGGTGTCTAAAGCGTTCCACAGGGATGCTGGCCCATGTTGACTCCAATGCTTCCCACAGTTGTTCCCACAATGCTTCTTGATACACACGGGAAATTGTTGAGTGTGAAAAACCCAGCAGCGTTGCAGTTCTTGACACACAAACCAGTGCGCCTGGCACCTACTACCATTCCCCGTTCAAAAGGCACTTAAATCTTTTGTCTTGCCCATTCACACTCTAATGGCACACATACACAATCCATGTCTCAACTGTCTCAAAGCTTTAAAATCCTTCTTTAACCGATCTCTTCCCCTTCATCTACACTGATTGAAGTGAATTTAACAAGTGACATCAATAAGGGATCATAGCTTTCACCTGGATTCACCTGGTCAGTCTGTCACGGAAAGAGCATGTTCCTAATGTTTTGTACACACAGTGTATATTTCCTCTCCAAATCTTTATTGAAAACATACATTTGCACAATAAGCACTTGTCTCTCAAATACATTGTTACAGTTGTTGGTTAGCTAGCTAGCTAGTTTTTGCCATATTAGCATAGACGTGACAAGAGTCAAAACAAGACATGGTGTCAATAACAAGATACAACGAGCTGAAACGAGCCACCTACGATTCCCCACTTGTCATTGTTGCTAGCTTTCTGGCCATCCAGAATCACAACTCAGACTTCTGCCCAATCGGCGCGCGCATCGTTTTCGGGACATTGTCAGCTAACCCATCTATAGCTCTCTCTCTCTCGTCTACCCACTTTTTCTCTCTCTCTCTCCTCTCTTGATGGATTGATTTATTGGGGAAAAAACATGCACTGAGTATAACCAAGGGGATAACGTGTTAAAGTGAAATTCACTTGTTTCCATCGTGGTCCCTCTTTAAAGGTCACTTTGTATGTTTTGAAGTTATACCTACATAATAACTAGATGTATTAGTATAAACAAAACAAACACCACATAAATGTCTCTGATCTTGACTCTCATCCTAAACTCATCCACTCTCTCTATCACATTCTCTTTCCTGCAGGTGTTTGCCCAGCCCGTCAATGTGAGTAAGACGAAGATGGACGTGAATAACCTGGCCATGGTGATGGCTCCCAACTGTCTCCGCTGCAAGTCAGACGACCCACGCGTCATCTTTGAGAACACGAGGAAGGAGATGTCCTTCTTACGCACACTCATTGTTCACCTGGACACCAGCTTCGTCAAGGGCATCATCTGAGGGGGCCATCCCTTTATCCATCAACACCATGCCCTGGAGAGCTGCACTCGTTCATCCGCCCCACTCCTCAACTATATCTGCGCTCTCTTTCTATCATACCACTGTCTACAACTGTCTCCCACCTTATTCACAACAAGCCCTATGTTCCTTCACACTTCTCATCAACCATATCACATCTCAACCCTAGATTCCTTCTGGTTCACAAACACCACAGCCTGAGGAACACAGACAGTGGACTGCACAGACAGTGACCGGGTATCTAGACGGTTTTTCGTGCTCTGAATCATCTTCCCTTTTTTTTGTTTGAGACAAGCTCCCATGTGATGGTAGTGGGAGACGGTTGATCCATTGGAAAGCAGGACATACAGTACATGGTGTTCACAGGCTTGTGTTAATGACTGGAGCGGAATCAGTGGAATGGTATCAAACACATGGTTTCCATGATTTCCAAGTGTTTGATGGCATTCCATTCGCTCCGTTACGGCCATTATTATGAGCCGTCCTCCCCTCAGTAGCCTCCTGTGCTACTGTTTCTGCTCCAAACACTGGACCGTGCTGGCATGAGATTCAGCATGTGAAGAAGAGCAATCGCAATACGAGACTATTATGCACAAGAAGCATGTGTTCCTGCTTTGAGTTCCCCATATGTATCTGCCTGCCATGGTCGTAAATGATGATGATGTGTCGTCACATGTTCTGACATGACGAATTGAGGGGAAACCCACTACAGACAGACTCTGTATTATACTGTTCTCTTTTCTTTTATTGTAAAAGTGTCTGCAAGCAACAATTTCCTTCGCATTCTAAGTTAATTTGGAACGCTTTTTTGACTAATTTAATATGAATTCTGTCTGGGTTGCCAGAGCTGCAGGATGAGTTGATAAAAAGGTTTAGACTTCCCCTGACCCCTGATCTCTTCACTGGCCGCAGAGAGACAGATTCACCCTCTGGGTTTAAAAAAAAATACGTATTTATTTCTGAACAGAGTTTCTCTTACAGGAAAGAGTATAACCCATCAGTTAGGCAGAGATGTGCGTACATATGAGATACAGTCTTGGACTAAAACCATGAGGAAAACACATGCCTATTCTCCTCAGCGGTGGAGTCGGTTGGGGGGGGAGCTAGGGAACATTTGTGGAGCACTTTCTGCTGTTTTACTCCAGACAATTACACTCCGCTTATTTTGGAGCGGGCCAGGGTTCTGTGTGGAACCTTTTTTCCCTCCCTTCAGCGGAACACAATTATACCTTTGATGGATCTCGTAAAAATGCTAATTTTAGCTATTAGCAGGTCAGGGGAAAAGGATGCAGGGGAAAATGAGAGTGCTGCTGCTGCCTGTACCTAAAGCCTCAGCCACGCAGACAGTTGTGGATTTACAGTGCGAGCCAAAGGGAGGGGCAATCTGGCAGTGGTTTGAGGGTCTGGGGTACATTAGTTTAGTGTCATATACTGGGAGGAAAAGCATTAAGGCAAAACACAAGCCGATTTAGTATTTTTAGACATTATTGCCTAACAAGGACTTTCCTATTCCTCAAAATATCAATCCATATTTCAGCTGTCTTAAGGGCCATGTGATCTCTGTTATATTTAGCAGTGCTACATGGGTTTAGGTTTTAATGCCCCACAAGTTTTCTCTGTGTCTACCTCATCTTAGTGATGGGGTCTGTGCTGCGAGGCTTGTGTGTGTGTGTGTGTGTGTGTGTGTCTCTGTGTGTGTGTGCGCGTACGTAAGTACTTGCACATCAGTGTGTGTGTGTGTGGGGGGGGGGGGGGGTATGAGAGATAGAGAAGCATGAGTGTGTTCATACAGCATACACTCCCTAGTTCCTGGAAGCTGGAGCCCCTAAATTAGAGGGTGTGTTTAGCCAGAACATTTTATCTGGGAGGTTAGATGGTTGTTAACCCCTTTTCTGCACTCACAGCATTTACAGCGGCCGCTCCTCCGTTTCCTGCATTAATGCTTTACTGTTGTCTTACGAAAACCCAAGCCCCACCAGTTGGGTACTCTACAGCCACATCAGAGGACACTACCCAGCTTTCTCCTCACCTCCAGCCAGCAGGGGCAGCACTGAGGTGGGCAGGTTGGAAGATGGCTGTGCACAGTGCCAATAGTTCTGGGAGTGCATGAGAGATATATACTGAGCCTGCAGAATGAGGAGGAATATTTCAGGGGCCAATAGTCACTGGTCTATTGCTAAAGTTATTGTAATTGTATCACAATGTGTTCTTCTAGGATCTATACACTGACCTTCAGTAAAACAGCTGAGGACCCGTAACTCTTAGACACCGAACTCCTGATGCTCCGGTTGAACTATTCTCCATCCTGTGTTCTTCAGTGGATGATGATTCATGTATACAGTGGTATATGTGAATAGCAGCATGGTCTTTGATCACTGAATGTTCAAAACAATGAGGGTTATAATAACAACATGATTCCACAATATTGTGAAAAAAAGTTAAATTCTTCAGTAACATAATTATTCTCTTGGTTTGAAATAAATGCTTGTGGTGCGAGTCAGCAGTGTAATTTCTTGATTTTATGAATAACCTTTGACTCAATCATTTTTTTCCTAACTGGAATGAGTGTTGATAATGTTTGTTGAGATGATAGAGAAACTGAGGTGTGTCATGTTTAGACTGTGTTTGATGACAGTTACAACGTGTGTGCCCCCATCCATTGCACATACGCCTCCTCTTACCCGGCCCTCACATGATGGGTGCTATTGACTGTTGTTGTAAATGTGCTTGCAGGTCATTTGGGTATGTTGGTGTGTGTGAGTGTTTGAAAACAAGAAAAACAGCAACGGTGATTGTGTGGATGCATTTATTTCATCAATAATTGACAAAATAAAGTTTGTAAATAAATGTGTCATTGCTTTTTTTCTGATCACTTGTTTTACTCCTGAACAAAAATATAAACACAACATGTAAAGTGTTGGTCCCATGTTTCATGAGCTGAAATAGAAGATTCCAGGAATTTCATACGCACAAAAAGCTTATTTCTCTCAAATTGAGCACACATTTGTTTACATCCCTGTTAGTGAGCATTTCTCCTTTGCCCAGATAATCCATCCACCTGACAGGTGTGGCATATCAAGAAGCTTTTAACAGCATGATCATTACACAGGTGCACTTTGTGCTGGGGACAATAAAAGGCCACTAAAATGTGCAGTTTTGTCACACAACAAAATGCCACAGATGTCTCAAGTTGAGTGAGCGTGCAATTCCTGACTGCAGGAATGTCCATCAGAGATGTTGTCAGAGAATTGAATGTTCATTTGTCTACCATAAGCCGAGAATTTGGCAGTTTGTCCAACCGGCCTCACAACCGCAGACCACGTGTAACCACGCCAGCCCAGGACCTCCACATCCGGCTTCTTCACCTGCGGGATCGACCAAGACCAGCCACCCGGACAGATGATGGAACTGTGGGTTTGCACAACCAAAGACTTTATGCACAAACTGTCAGAAACCGTCTCAGGGAAGCTCATCTGCGTGGTCGTCGTCCTCACCAGGGTCTTGACCTGACTGCAGTTCGGTATCGTAACCGACTTCAGTGGGCAAATGCTCACCTTCAATGACCACTGGAGAAGTGTGCTCTTCAAGGATGAATATCGGTTTCAACTGTACCGGGCAGATGGCAGACAGCATGTAAGCGTCGAGTGGGCGAGCGGTTTACTGATGTCAACGTGAACAGAGTGCCCAATGGTGCCAGTGGGGTTATGGTATGGGCAGGCATAAGCTACAGACAACAAACACAACTGCATTTTATCGATGGCAATTTGAATGCACAGAGATACCATGATGAGATCCTGTGGCCCATTGTCGTGCCATTCATCCGCCGCCATCACCTCATGTTTCAGCATGATAATGCATGGCCCCATGTCGCAAGGATCTGTGCACAATTCCTGAAAGCAACTTCGCACTGCCATTGAAAAGCAGTGGGACAACATTCCACAGGCCACAATCAACAGCCTGATCAACTCTATGCGAAGGAGATATATCGCGCTACACACCAGATACTGACAGGTTTTTTGATCCACGCCCCTACTTTTAAGGTATCTGTGACCAATAGATGCTTATCTGTACTCCCAATCATGTGAAATTCATAGATTAGGGCCTAATAAATGTATTTCAATTGACTGATTTCCTTATATGAACTTCAACTCAGTAAAATCTTTGACATTTGCATGTTGCGTTTATATTTATGTTCAGTGTATTTTTAAAAGATTTGTTAACAAGGGATGAGTCTAACTTCTGCAAGTCTCCCATTGACTTCAATGTGCATTTCACGGTTTTAGTCTCTCGTGAGGCCAGTGCTTACACAAGGTTAGGTTGCGGGACCGAGGATACCATTAGGTCCATGTGTTATGGTAGAATCATGTCTTTCACTGCAGGTGAAAGGTTTTTATGTATCGGACACAATTGTTGCACGGCCAAATCACCCTCAAAAGAGGAAGAGAAAGTGAATGGGTCTTTACCTTTTCCCCTGCAGCTTCTCTGTGAGCTGAGCGAGTAGGGTACCCAATCACATCACAGAACATGTGGAGGCGTTTTGGTGAGTGAAACATGCCTGACAACTCATCCTGAATGTATTTCCGCTGCTCTGTTGATCGCTCCATACAAATGCTAGTGGGCGTGGCGTTTGGCCGCAGCAATATGGATGGGTAGTCAGGCTAGTGTGAAACAGGAGTTCCCTTGACTGTTGGTGTAGCTGGTGTCGCTGACTCCGTCACATCAGCTGTTCTTGTCCCTTGTTAGTAGCAACATGCAGGCATGACAGAGCATCAGAGCAGGCACAGCTCAAAGTATGTACAGGCGGCAGGTAACCTAGCGGTTAAGATAGTTGGGCCAGTAACTGAAAGCTCGCTGGTTCGAATCCCCGAGCTGGCAAGGTGAAAATCTGCCTTTCTGCCCTTGAGCAAGGCAGTTAAGCCCCAACAACAACTGCTCCCCGGGCGCCGATGACGTCGAACAAGGCAGCTCCCCGCACCTCT